ATATCATGAGTGTAGTTTTAGTAATTTAAAGTAGATAATTTGTGAGCCTTGTGGCCCAAGCACAAACTGGAAATGATAAGGACTGTTGATGTGAATGAAGTTAGTAGCTTTGGTTATAAATCAGGCTTGGTTTCTACGCAGTGCTGTGTTTAATACCAATGGACTAAAATGCCAGATCTGATATGAGTTTATATACATAGGTGGGAAGCCTGGCAGGTTGATTTTGTGTAAAGAACAACACACAGAAATTAGAGAGGTATGGAATAACCTCCTAGAAGCTGCTGTCTGGTAAGCATTTTAGACAGACTTTTCAGCCGCTGGTAACTGGAAGTGAACCTGCCTGTCAGTACAAATTCAATGCCACTGTCTATCATGAAATGTCTGCTGTTTTCAACACTGCAGGGGGAAAAAAAAATCATCCTCCCCTGTCTGTCCTGTCATAATGCAAAGTGGAGTGGTTGCAAGAGTTACCTTGAGAAATGCTACACTAGTTGCTGTCTCTTGATTTTGCTTGTACTTGGGCAATAACAAAACAGTTAAAACTGGGACCTCACGGAGTCTTTGTCCTGTCTGGAGTAGGAGAAAGTTTTCAGCTGCAGCGTGGGGAAACTTCTGAGAGCAGAAGAGCTGCATACAGCATGGCTTGTATATGGTATGAGCTGCATGTGAGATGATTTATATACCTTGCAACGTTTCACGAGTGCAGTATGTTCTTCCCTAATTTTCTGTGAAGAGAAGATTAAAGGAGGTTTATGGGGTCTCTGTTTGTTTCCTTTATGTCACACAGTTGCATTGCTGGTGGGTAATGCGCTGTGATTGCTTCCCTAGACTTTGAACTTTGTCCCGAGCTTTTATTTAACTGTTTGTTCCTGTTGTTAGATGAATCTGCATTCTCTTTAGCAGCAATTTGTTTGGCAAAATAAACCAAACAACTGACATCTTTGCTTTTCAAATTTCATATTATTTTTTCACTAAAAACTTGTCTAGGCTTAGAATTGTGCTATGAATAGTTTCCAGAAGAGGTGTCTTAGTCAATGTCCGTATATAAACATGTCCTAAAATGATCTTGTGGTTACCAGGAGATCCTGACTTTTTCCTGAGGATTCACTTGTCGTTCTGCATGAATCAAGGTGCTTCCTTACCTAGGTTTTGTTGTCATCTCTCCCTTTGGGAAGAAATAGCACTTTGTGTTAACAGAGTTTTTACAAGATGTTTAGCTAGCAACAAAATAAAGTCCGAGGGGGGTGTCTGGATCATCTGCCAGCAAGGCAGAGGGACGTGCTTAGCATTTCCAAAAATCAAATTTTTCTCACTGAGGTGCAAGTTCTGTAAGTTTCTAGGTCCACTTAAACAGTCAAAAGCTTCAGCTCAGACCTCCCAAGTATGGCACTCTAATTATGGATCATAAGAAAACTGTATTAGCTAAAAATCTTGCCATAACGCAGAATTAGCTTCTTACAACTTGAAATTTCATCTCTACACATTTCCCTTTGCTCTAACAGCCATCAGAGATACACGCTCCAGCTTCAGGTCCTACAGCTCCTCTGCCCAGCGGTGCGTTGGTGGTACAGCTGCTGTGGTGCAGGCTGGGTTTGTTCAGGAAGAGTTACCCAGAGCGTAAATAGGAAAATGAACTTTTCCACCGGATCTGCTGCAGTAGCATAGCGCACCCAACTGCGGAGGCCTTGGTAGAGAGGCGGTGTCGGTCCTGCAGGTAAAGGGGAGGGTTTCCTCACATCTGGCGGGGCAGGTGGAATTGCATTTGGCATGCCTAGAGACGTGTCGTTGAAATATAAATGAGCACAGGAAAGAAACAGGCTAGTAACTTCCAGCTGTCATGCAGAGAGCAGACGATCTGCCATCCCTTACTGTACGATTTTTCCAGTTTCTTTTTTGTCCCAGTAACAACATGAAATACTGCAGGCTCTTGGGTTAGATTAGGTGATGAGGGGCATAGCTGAGCGTGTCTGAGCATGCCAGATGTATTTTGGGCTCTAGAAAGAAGCATGCTACAAGATTTAGTCTGTATTTAGTCACTGGCCTACTTTGTAGGATATTTTGCATTTCTGAAAACTTTCTCAGCAGAGATGTGCCCTTCTTTTTCTTCTTTCTGTTTCTTTCTTTAAATGTTTAACATCTTTTACAGTTATTTAAGGTTGAAAGTAGTGATACCTAGCCGTTCAAATGCTGTCTGCATGTTAATTTTTAAATGTGTATTTCCTCCCTTTCCTCTTTTCCTTTTGATTTTCATCTTGTTAAAGACAAGGCTTGGCCATTGCCATGCTCTGTCACTTGTGCAAACTCAGTGAACGTCAAGTCGACCCTCCCAAGTTTTGGAGGAATCTCTGTTTGAACCATCACCTTGCATAAAATGACAGGAGGGGTGACTTCTTAATAAAGACATCCTTTTCTCCCAAGGCCATATATTCCATTTGACAGGGAGGGAGATTATGTAGCTGCATCTCTGAGCCCTTTGCCAAGAGCCCCACCGACACTTTGGGAGACTCTTTGGCCTTATCAAGGAGTTTTAGGAGCACACATACACACACTTGAAGTCTTAATTTCTTTGGGACCATCTGGAGTTCTTCTCCCCCCCCCAACCCTCCTAGGGAAGCTAATAAAGGCAACCTTGTGACTTAGTGGTTTATTTTGGAAGCTGCAGGAACTGACTGTGGCTGGATGAGCCAGATTTGGCAAACGTTGTCCCATGAACTCTGTTGTGGTGGGGGAATGTCACAATTCCCCTGCTCTTTGTTCCAGAAATTGGGTCACTGCAGTAAATTGGTAGGTTGGTTGATAAGTGGAGAGAAGAGACAGATCTCTATTGGGAATAATGGTGTGCTTTCATCTTGTGGGTCTGAAGGAAACGGGTCTCATGTAATCACAGCGTCTGTGGATGCATGTGTGGATCTCAGTCAGCTTTGCCCATTTTCACAAGAGGAAATGGGGGCACCAAGGCTAACTTGGCAAAGGTACTGTGTAAATCCATGCAGGATGAAGAATTTAAGCATTAATCTCCAGGATCAAGGAAGGACCCTAGTCCAGCACTTCATCTCCTAGCAAAAATCTGATGTACATAATAGAAATTTTGTAACAAATTAGTTTAATGGAGTTTTGTATTCCTTCACAGGCAATGAAGTGCTGACTCTTAATTGTTTCTTCCAAATATTGTTAGCCTTTTCTATCTCTGTCAAGTGCTTTTCCACTCAATGGGCTGAGTACTCATTAATTATAAAAAGGCAACAAGTCTTTAAACTTAAAAAATGCATTGGTGCTTCATTTTCTCATGTTCTCTCATAGTATAAATATCCTCATACAAATGTTTTTAGCCATTAAGACCTTCTGAGATGTTATTTTAGAGTGTAAGGCATTCAAGGATTGATGTCTGCTCTATGTCTGGAAAAGACTGGAGTGACAGTTTTTCAGCCAGTTTGGAGCCTGGAGAAAGAAAGAGGGTCATCTTTTCTCCTGAATATGTATCTTTAGAGAAAGCATCAATCCTTGACATAAGCTTCAGGGTTTTCTAGGAAACACTTTTGTACAGATGTGGTGTTTTCCTGTTGGTTGTTCTCCAGGATTTAGCGTCTCAGGAATATGTGAAATATCTTTTATTTTTTAATTTTTCCATTATTTCAGAGCTTTCAGAGACCCTTCCTCCTTACTACCACAGGACCTACATGGCATTGGGTTCATCAAAACAAATTAAGCATGGTCTTGAAACTATGGATATGGGTATATTGTGTGAGACTGAAGCAACTGTGGGGAAACTGAGAGAGACCAGGAGGTGGGCCTGGGGCTTTTCAACTGACATCCCCTGGTCTCCTGAAATGCCTCTTAAAACATGTGGAGTTGGCTGACAGATACTTGCTGCTAAATGTTCATTTGACCCCTTGCCACCTCCAAAATGGCGCTTTTCTGGAGGCAAACAACATGGATAGGAAAGCAGAGGGTGGCATGGGATGTCTTCGTGGCGGCAGCCAGCAGAAGAGGCAGATGGTTTGGGCAAATTTGTTTCTGGCTTTTAACCGTCAGTGTGTGCCGTATCACTCTGCTTAGCAGTCTTTTGGATGGTGAAGGGTTTTTTTTTTTAAGTCCCTTTCTCTCTGTCCATTTTTTGGTTTGAAAGAGCTCACTCTTTTTTCATATTAGACCAATTAAGGACTAATTAAGATGTAGTTCAAAAGGTGATTATAAAACTGAAACCATCAAAAGAAATACTAGAAGATATCTATAACAATGATTTCAATATAAGAAACCTGTCAGTAACTGGTAACCATCTGTAAGAAAGAGCAGGGAGCTCAACTTTTTAATTGAACTTTTTTTTGTAGACTTCCGTAGGTCTGCAGGGTTACATGGGAATATTGCAATTATTGTGCTGTTTCAGTGACTGAGAAACTGTAAGAAAATTTTATTCTTACTGCATGGGATGTGATGACAACAATAGGTGAATATTAATACTCTTCAGAGTATTTTCAGTGGCGTTTCCTAGACAAACATACAGATAAAATCGTTTTTCAAAGGAGTGCATCCCTGGCTGTAGCTGATCGAATATGAGAGCTCTGCTGAGGTCAGTGGAGTTAGGTGACACACATCAGCTGGGAATCAGGCTGTATGGTATGGTCTCTATATTCTACATGTCCTATATTCACTGGCTGCAAAGACCCAAGAAGGATCCTCTTTCTAGAAAGAGGGCTTACCACACTGCTTGGTAAATTCAAAACAAACAAAACTCCCAACCTTTCTAAATCCTTTCAAATTGCTCAAAAGATTTTCTCTGTCAGTGATAATGCAAGAAACATATTGCTTTGGAGGTGACCTGATTTTAACCTTTTCTGAATTGCTTTATGATTAGAACAAGTCACATGCTGAGGTAGGACCCTGTTAGTGGATTTAAATTGCCTGTTTACTTCTGAAAATGCGCATTGTTATGGGCTCTGCTGAGTATTCCCTTTTTTTTTTTTTTAATTTTCTTTTTTTCTTCTCTTTTTTCACTGTTGCAGGACAGAACATCACAGTTGTACCAGTTTGGGAGCAAAATATGGAATGTGTTTCACTGCTGACCAAAGGCAGCCAAATGAACAGTATTTATAGTAGTTTGAAAATCAGCAGTTAGCAGTTTCTTCACATTCTAACACTACCCGGCACTTTCCAGAGAGAACTCATTGTTTACAAGAAATCTGCTTTCCAAATCCGTTACGGTGCCCTCCAGCCTTGACTATTAACTATTTGCGAAGGGGAAGCTAATCTACGGTTTGGGGGAAGATGGCAATGGAAGAGTACCTGTGGATGGTCATTGTGGGTTTTATCATTGCTTTTATTTTAGCCTTTTCGGTTGGTGCAAATGATGTTGCCAATTCTTTCGGAACAGCTGTGGGCTCTGGTGTTGTTACTTTACGCCAGGCTTGCATTTTGGCTTCAGTTTTTGAGACCACTGGCTCAGTATTACTGGGAGCAAAAGTAGGAGAAACAATTCGGAAAGGTATCATTGATGTTAACCTGTACAACAACACTGTCCCACTGCTGATGGCAGGAGAAGTGAGTGCAATGGTTGGTAAGTAACACTTTCCTATTCCAAGTAACATTCATTGTGTATTTGTCGTCTTGTTCGTTGTGAATATTGTTAATTACGTCTTCCGATCTTCTGGACTTGCATGGTTTTTTTTGTGTAAATGTGGGGGCCTTTATTCCTTTTTTAATCTCCTGTGTTTTTTAAATGCTTCTACTAATTTACATTTTTCAGTACTTCAGCCATTTAACTAATAGAAGAAAAAATGTTTAGCATAATGGATCATACCTATGTATTCCTAGGGTACTAAAAGAAATTATTTTGGAGATTTTTATGGTGTTACATGGAAAATATGTAAGCATAGCATTTGTGACTGCATAGAAGATCCTACAGAAACAGCAGTTTGCTATGAATTCATACAAGAAGGAATTACCTAAATAGTTTTAAAAAATTTGCAGAAAATCCAAACATATTTGCTTAAACTGATTGTCTAGCTGGGTGATTGCAATAAATCATACACTTCACCCTTCCTCATGGCAAAACTAAAGGAGCAGTAAAGATAGATGGTCACACGTTTAAGGTCTTTTTAATTTTTCTGATTCAAACCGACAGCAGTTCAGCATACCTTAGAGTCTGCTCTGCGTGCTTTTGTTTGCCGTTAAATTAATCTCCATTTAGAAAAAATAGCATATTCTGAGGTAAGTAACATTGAGCCACGGTATTTACTCTTTGTTTATATGCAAGAGCCTTTGTGAGCTTTTGGAGAGCTCCCTCAAGGATCAATAGCAAACCTGCTTTTAAAGAGCAGGAGACAGCAGGAAGGAAACCCTTTCACTGTGGGAGAGGCAGCCCAGGCAAGGGGCCAGCCTGCCCATCCCACCACCACTTCTTCAGTCTGGCAGGTCTGTGGCGTCCCATGCCAGGGCAGCGTGATTTGCACGAGCGTTGCAGTGTCCTCTGTTTGAAAGGGATGCTCCACTCAAGGATTTTCTTCCTTAAACCTAACCTAAATATTATTTCACCTACACCTTCTAGCCTCCCCACAGTTTTCCAGCAGGACCTGCACGTGAGGTAGGTGAATCTGTGCAGAGGTCTACTACAAGTGGTTATTTTCCCGTATCTTCGGGGAAATAGGAAAATTTTGCTTTTTCTAAATTTTAATGGATTAAGATGGACATTGAGTGCTGGTTTCTGGACTTGTCTGAGGTGGCTTTGTGTGCTTGAGAGTGGGAAGGTGGTTCCCTTGGGCTTTTGCTGCTGCTGAGCCTCCTGAAGGTTGGCCACCTTCCCCTGCCGAAGAGGAAGAGGGGCTGGTTAGTGAGAAACCGCTTCCCCAAATGGTCCCTCTGTGACGCTGCCAACTTAAACCACATCAGATGCTCTTGGGCAGCCCCATCAGTTCGTCTTTCCTGATGTCCTGCAAGGTCAGCTGTAGATTTCTGGTCTTTCCCTCAAGCTGTAGGGTGGCTTCTTAGTACCACTCCACTTGCATCATTTGACCTTCTGCTTCCTGAGATAGCTCCATCATTTCCCACGGGTGCATGCCCAGGAGTAGCGTACACCATCTGAAATGTGAGTGACCTGCATCTTCTGACCTTCATGTTCTTGATGCTCATGGTCCCCATTGAAGGGGGGGTCCTTTTCCTTTTCTGTGTCTATTTATGGCATCTTGATCCTGGCCAGGCAAAGTTTTAAGTCTCAGATGCCCCCTGCGGAGGCAACTGGCCAGAAGCTCAAAGAAAACAACTTATTTGCATGCGTATTTACATAAGCCTGTGTGAACTTCATGACCAGTTGCATTCCCTTCCTCCACTAAGGGCATTAAGAAGAAATTCCACATTTTAAATCTCAGAATTAATCACAAGTTACAAACTGCAGATTTCAGGTTTTTTTTTCCCCCCTCCAATCCATCTCCAGCTTTTCTCTGTATGTATGATATTTTTTTCTGTGTTCCCTCTGAGCCTTCTTGGATGTTTTCTTTTCCTTTTTCTGTTTTTGCTTTGCATTTCTTCCCCTGTTCTCTCGTGCCTCATGATCATGTTTTTGAGAATGGATTTAGCTTCTGAATTTCAGTGAGGCTTAAATGAGTCAACAGTCTGGGAGAGACCAAAAGTCGCAGCATCCTCTTTCCAGATGTTGCTGGGAGATCCTTTGATGCTTGCAGCAAACAGCAGATGGTGATTTTCAGGGCGACCTTCTCTCCTAAGAGAGAGAGAGGCAGGGAGCAATGGCATTAAAATTTTTAAATACGACATTTTGTAATAATTTGTAGAGTATTAAAATGTTATTTGTTAGGCAGTTGGGAAGTTAGGGACTGTTGCTCTTCGGAGTAAATTGTAGTACTGCCCTAGCGTTAATTAATTGTCAGATTATTGTCAGGAATTGCCTGGGTGTTCTAGTGGTCCTGGTGGGAGCTGCAGTCAGCAGCTGGTGTGACTAAGGAGATGCCACCGACAGAGAGGATGTCCCAGCCAGGGCTAACAAAGCAAGGTGCTGCCCTGGTCTCACGGGTTGGGGTGGCACTCGACGGGGCTGGGGGCTGGCAGGCAGCACCGGGGCCTCCGGAGAGGGGATGCGGTGCCGTCAGTAGCAGGGCAGCGCGAAACGCGCCCTGAGCCGAGAGCCAGCGCTGGCCGCAGCCAGCCCCCTTTCCTGAGGAGGTGGCAGCTGGGAGGATAGGGTGCGCGGCCACCGTGTCAGCAGGCGGAAAGGATCTGAGTGTGGGACTGTGTGACAGCTCTGGTGAGCCTCCTGCTTCCCAGGTCGCTTTTGCGAAGATAAAAATTGGGAACATGCATCTTACATTACAGAGGAGTTAAAGCTTTGATGTAGGTAGCTCAGGCATTGCAAACCCCAGAAAAAAGTCCTGCTCTGGCTTGATTTGAATTTTCTTCTGTTCCTTAATGTGCTTCCTTAAACTTCTTTAGACCACACGTCATCCTTCTCAGACCACCCATCAGTCCTCCACCACTTTCCTTCTTGCTCCCCTGTTTGTTTTCAAGGTGAAGTTGATTAAATAAGAAATAATGCCACACTCCCTCTATTCCTTTCAATACAAAAAACCCCAGCCCTCACTATGCATTTGCAGTGCAGCTGTGGCTTGGTAGCATTTTCCCTGTTTTTTAAAGTGAGTAGTTTGTAATTACATATATGTGGCTGGCTTAACTGTTTATTTGGCTCTTTACAGGTGTTGCCATCTGTTTTCTCTTTCACCTCACTTCCACTTGCTGGTCTCTAAGTTCATGTCAAAGGTTTCAAAGTGTATTTATTTTTATTTCAGTACAGGGGAAGAGAAGCCAAAAAATTGAAGAGCAGGTGTTCCTTGTTTGATCTAGAATTTCCAATAGCAATAGTTGTTTTGGGATAGTACACCAGCAGAGATCAGTTTTACAAACTGGTTGACTTCCAAACGTAGCCGCATATGATGCCAACAAATCACCATTTGCAGGTGGCTCCGTTTCAATGCCTTCAAACCACCCTCTCCTGTTGGAATTGAAGATGGAGGCAGAGATTTTGAATAACAGCGTATGTTCAGCGACCTTACTTTGTCACCTGTGTCTGCTGCAGATCTGTTAAGAGAGGTGGCACGAGCCAGAAAACATAGGATCTCTCATGTTTGATTGCTGCCATTGGGGCCTCTTAACACATCAAGATTTAGTCTTAAGGCCATGAAGTCTTAAAATGAAGAAAAGATCTTTCTAACAATTCTCTAATACTAGGCAAGACCCACAGAAAGCTTGTGTCACTGCCAAAAAGGTTTTGGTGTCCTGAGGTTAGTGCCACTGCAAGAGGAGCAGGGAGCCTGGGCCCTTGCAATGTGAAAATGAGTTGGAGCATGGAGCCTTGGGACATCTGTTGGGACACCAGGCATCGCATTTACTTTACAGACCATAAGCCGCCATCCCTTAGTTAGGGGATCTTATTTCCTTACACCAAGGGTATCTTTGGCTACTCCTTGACTAAGATAAGCCTTTTCTGCAGTTCTGAATTGCTCCAGTACCACAATGAGCTGCAAATGCAGGCGATGAGAGAGTCCTTATTCCCTCCTCAGTCCATTTTTCTTATCGAGGACTCTGGATGGCCACGCGGCACTGAGAAGAGGCATAAAAACTCCCTGCCCCACAATTTGAGCCTTTCTCTGGTAGCATCTGAATGTAGGAGCTTGGCTAGTTCATTAATGAAACAGTGAATGCCTCCTCATGCTGATCACTTGGAGGCTTCCAGATCCAGCTCTCAAGAATGAGGTTTTCTAAGCTTGATGCAGACTGGGAGCAGTTTGTGTATTTAATCAGACAGGCTGTAAATACTAAAAGCCTTCAAAAAAAAAAAAAAAGGGCAAAACTGTTGTGCAGTGTAAAAAGTTTTTCGTAATAAAAAGTCATAAGATGCAGCATTCAAAGCTGCTGTTAAGCTGTCTTAGTATCTGCTTTTAGAGACAGAACAGGAACAAAACTCTCTTGAGGAGATCTCTGTTGTGCATGTGGAGCGTAGGCAGTGCTCGTAAAAGAATGTGGGTATGTGGCAAAGAATTTTCTGCATGACATTATTGTTACTGTTGTTTATACTATATGGTTGGGTTTTTTTCTAGGTTCTGCTGTTTGGCAGCTGATCGCATCATTCTTGAAACTCCCGATATCGGGGACCCATTGCATCGTAGGTGCTACGATTGGATTTTCTCTGGTGGCAATTGGCACGCAGGGAGTCCAGTGGATGCAGCTCGTCAAGATTGGTAAGTGTTTCCTTTTATGTGTGAGGGTATGTGAAATAGTGTGCACTGCCTGTAAAAAACATTCCTAGAAATGTGCTTTGTGCTGGTAGCACTGCCTCCTTCAATTATTTTCTGCCCTAGTCCTGTCATTCAGAAGATGCACTGACACCGTGTTCATTAAGGGCTGCAGCATGTCTCCAGTGGAGAAAGGGCTAAGACGCAAGTTGCACTTCCCCAGCGGTAAGCTGAGGAGACATTGTTCCTCAGAGACATGCTTCGAGATGACGTTCCTCCTCTTCTAATTCTTTTTGTGGCAGCTCATACCACCTCGTTCTTGCTCTCAACAACGCTAGCCATCATGTGAATGCCCACAGTCATGTTCCCCCACCCACCAGCTTCAGGGAGGCAAAAGCTAGGCATACAGCACATGTTTAACTCGCAGCCTCCCACTGCCAAGATCCGCACAGCCAAGCAGCGATGTGAAAGAGTTTTCATTATTGTTTTGGAAGCCTTGTAACCCGACTCGCAGCCTAAGCCCTGTGTTAAAAGGATTTGATGCTGAAGGCACAGAAATACAACTGAGCTTTAGAGAAGTTGGAGCAATGCGCATGTTTTTAAATTCTGTCGAAAGTAGAAGAGAGTTTGCAATGACAGCAGAATCAATCTGGTAACCATGTCGCAAACAATAAATCACTCTGGATGAGATTTCCAGAGTGCTGCCCTAATACGGTTTTATTGAAATCCGTCCGAGTTTTGCCACCTACTTCAGTTAAATCAGTCCTGGACACTTGCAAATCTGGCCTGCAAAAAATGTACGCGCATTATTCGTTACAGTTGATGCTTCTGAGGCATTTTGGAAATCAAGATTTTTGCCCTGCGAGCAGCATGGCATCCTGCTAGATGCAGTTCCTTTCCACTTGCTTGCAACATTCATGGTCATGGTGATTAGGAAATTACAGAGGTTTCTTGGTCCGCTCTGCGTCAAACTACAAGAAACTTTCCTGATGAATTTGATTGCTAAACTTGCAAAATTATTGGGAAATTATTTGGCTGATGTCTCTAATAGTGCCTAGCATTACTTTGACTTTCATGTATGTCAGTGGACATTGAGTTGCACCAGTTTTAAGTAAACATATGGAACATTCATTCCAGTTTTACAAGAACTGTTTTAAATTTACTGCTCATTAACTACTTACTTACTTAACTATTATGTAAGAATACTGTTCATGTTCCATTCTTTCTTTTCTTCAACACAGTTGCCTCTTGGTTTATTTCCCCACTGTTATCTGGCTTGATGTCTGGAGTCCTCTTTGTGCTGATTAGATTCTTCATTTTAAACAAGGTAAAGAAATCTCACTGTTATAATGAGTGCTTGGTATGAAGGATGTGTTCTAGCCCTCCCATTTGAGTCCTGGCATTTCCAGAGTTGAAAGTTTGTGACTTCTTTTTTGGACAGGAGACCAGTCATTTTTTTACAGCCATTGGAACTGTACTTGCTCTTAGCATTTCTGTAAACTCAGATTAAGTAATTTGAGAAGTATTTGAGGCTTAGAAGGTGCTACATGATAATTAATATTGTATATGCTGTTTGATTAAAGGATGGTACATTGAGATTGCTTCTGTATAAGTACAAACTTGTTGGCTTTGACTTAGCCTCGTGATAGCTGCTCTGACTGTTATTTAAACAGAACAGTCCTCCCTTGGAGATACTTCAACTGGTATTCCATAGTTGTGAAATTTTAAGCTGTGGTTGTCTGGCACATCAGACGTTAGAAGATGGGCATCTGCATGTTTCCTAGATTCTCGAGAAACCTGAATCGATCAGTTTTAGTGACCCTAGTCAAAAGTGGCAGCTTCGAGGTAACATCAGTCCGTATATCTCCAGTGCAGAAGACGGTTTGCCTGCCACCCAGCATGAACTGGAAACGAGAACATTTTCATCTGTTCTTCCCATTTCTCACACCATTCAACTTGCTACACTGGGGGAGTGCAGCGCATGACAATGATCTAAAATAAGGGACACTATATTAGCAGTTACACAGGGAACTTAAATAGATGAGAGATTAATTCTTTTGCTATAAATAACACCACCTGTAACTTCAGCTTCATCATTCTTTATTTCTGATGTAAATAAATGTCAGTGATAAAAGCAGAATATAAATTTGATTGGATTCAGCTTTGAATTTAAAATTACTCAAGTTGCTTAAAGGATGATGAAAAGTTCCTCTATTACATGCAAAATGTAACAACTTAAGAAATTAGTCATCAAAATCACATGAACTCTGGTATAAAAACCACATATTTAAGCATTAAAGAGACAGAAAAAGTTCAAGCTCAGGCAATTATCTTCTGACTGCCATCTGTGCTGTTCACAAAGTGGTAAGATTTGGAGAGCTTCTGGCATAAGCAGGTAGTGACTTGCGTTGTGTGCGTGCATAAAAAAGAGCAGTTTTCTAGCTTGCGAGTCCATGCCCTGGTGCAGGGGTTCATGCCCTTGTTGGGGGTGTCTGTGAATAGCAGCTGGCCCTGCGGATACAGCCTGTGCTGCATCACGTGTCGGGACCGGGGCATAGTGCAGGGCAGCTGCCGCCTGCTCTCGCTCCCTTTTATAACTCATGGCAGCAAGAAACAAAACCGCATTAGCCAGCCCCTTAGCTTTGCCAGGCTCTTTGCAAACATGCGGAGCCCCTCAAAAGGCCAAAGCAGTCTCCTCACAAAGGCTTTCTCCACTGCGCGCACGGTGCATTTCCGCTCGCCGTCAGCTGAGCCTTCCCTCGTGCGCACCCAGGGCATGGGACCGCGGCGGGCAGCACATTGCACGCGCGCTGCGTGCGTGGTACCTGTGTAATGCAGCCAGATGCCGAACGTGTCAGAGACTTGTGTTAGCTGGTGGAAAGTGCTAGGATGTCTCAGTCGAAACCGAGAGGTTAGGAATACGGTTTTGCGATGGATGTGTTGCACTGATGCTTGTAGCCCTGCCCCAAAAAGATCAAAGCTCCATCCCGCTCGGCACCCTGCAGTCGTGCTGAGTCAAAGGGACTCCTCATCTTGGAGACAACATAGGAAGAACACTTCTAGGAGAAAACACTCGCAGAAAGAAACCTGTGCCCAGGTCACCCAGCAGGTCTGCAGCTGACCTGAAAGTACAGCCTGTCTCCCTGGTTTCCATTAACAGTGTCAAGCTTCCCCAGGATGCTGGTGTGTGCCAGGACCAGCGTTGTGGATTTGGGTGTAACCAGGCAGGTTATCGTCCCTTCCTCACCATCCACCCAAAAGCTCCACCTGCCTGGCACTGACTCGGGAGCGCGTGTTTTCCTCATGGTGGTTCACGCTGACATTAATCTGGTGGAAAATCCAGCTAATGTTTCCTTTTTTCCCCAATTCCTATGCAGGAAGACCCTGTGCCCAATGGTCTCCGCGCACTTCCAGTGTTTTATGCTGCTACCATAGCTATTAATGTCTTTTCCATCATGTACACGGGGGCACCAGGTGAGTGAACCGTCCGCGGCAGGAGGCACGAGAGGGAGCCTTCCCACAGTGTGTAATGATGCTCTGCCAGCATGCTGTCAGGTAGCTGTCAACACCACACGGTTATCTCCTGTATTAGGAGTTAATGAGGGCAAGAGTAAATCATACAGCTCCCTGCATGCTCCTGTTTGTTTATGAGTTTTTGTGACTCCCTTCTGATCACTCCAGTTAGTGGGAAAGAGCGCAGCTGCAGAAAAAATCCCTCTTTAGAAGAAGGGGAAATACTGAGCTGCCAGCTTCGGCTTTGTAAATCTGAGCACATGTTGAGCTTTCAGAGGTGTTCCAGATATGTGCATCAATGAGGGAAGGTTCAGAGTGGGCGGTAAGAGCAGGTAGGCTGTTTGCGCTCAGTCTAAGGCTATAGCTCCACTGAAATCAGCAGAGTCACTGTTCTGGCAGATCTGGCATGGAGCCTATTAATTAAATTTACTTAAATTTACTTCTTTATTTCCCTTCAATGATAAAAAGCCCCGAGCCTGTTTCTGCATTTAATGCATCTTCTTTCTTGGGTGCTGTGTTTTCATTGCAACTGAGTAGAAGGAATGATATGTGCCATTTTCAGGATTTTATTTATATTTTTGTATATTTGTATATTTTATGTGCATTTATGTGTTTGTGTTTAATTATATTTGTGTTTATATTTGAACCTATGTTTTCGTATTTATGTTTGTATACTTATATTTACACATTTTGTATTTATATATTTACATTTATATGTTTATATTTAACTTTACTTAAGCAGTGTACATTTAAACATGCACTTGCAGCAAAAGAGTTCAGTAAAAAGATGTTCAATGCTCTCGACTACTTTATTGAAGACTCTGGTCATTAAATGTTATCTTTAGATTTAATTTTTGCCCTAGAGCCGTGAACTAACCCGAAATTGAAGAGAGACTCCTGAACATGCCCCTGAATGAAGAAAGCAGGCTTAGAAAGTGACCGTTTTTGGATAGAAATTTGTTTTCTCTAAAACCTGGTGCGCTAGATGTACTAGTTAAATGCAGTCGGTAGACTCTACTTCATAGCATAGCATTACTGAAATCAGGAGAAAGCTTGAGAAGTTCCCACTTTGAGGGTAACATAACTCAACTATTCCTTTTTCTTAAGTCTAACTGGCTACGTATCCAAGATGCTTCACAGTAAATCAGCTGTATAATCAACATTTCCTCATTAGTTGTACTGCAGAAGTAGGTCAGACACTCTGCAGTCACTCATTAAGCAAAATAAATGAAATGAGAATCTTAATGTTGCTTCTGTTTCATCTTAGCAGTCTCTAAAGTGTATGAATAAAAAGGTGGGACTCCATTTTTGATACTCAGGAAGAACACATTTACTCTCCAAGGCCTCTGTCCTGGCGACATTTACCCACAAGGATGAATTAATCACATAGCTTTCAAGATGGGCATGCATGTACGGATCAGAAACTAAGCCCTTTCTTCATTAAGGGTCTGATCATTTAATTGAGCAAGTGCAAGGAGCTCTGTTGGGGGGATACGTGCAGGAACACGAGTTACTGACAGGATTGCCCACTGCAGGACTGAAACCTGTGCTCTCCAGTGCCATATTAAGCTATTGTCAGATAGCAGATGATGGCTTAGATTAAGCCAAGCATCAGGCTTTATTGACCAGACCAAAGGTCAGGTAAATACTTACCCTAATGGGCAACATAGTTTAACATGCATTAGTGTATAAAATCACTGCAAACTTGTTTTAGCAGTCCTGATGTGGGAGTTTTACCCCTGACTTCTCTGGAAATAAGGTCACAGTAAGATAACAGAGAATTGGAGGATTAAACCTGCTAACATTTGCATGTCAGCCGGACCTTTAAATACTGCACTAGCTGACGTGTTAAAAATGATCGTCTCATTCACATTGGTTTTGACTACATTGTGAACACAGGCTTTTCTGCAATGGACTGCTCTTCCACTGCCTGAGATAATTAAGTCATGTTAATTTATGGTTTGCTTGAGTTTTATTTCTTTGTCTTCACAGTACTGGGACTGGTGCTGCCAATGTGGGCCATTGCTCTAATATCAGTCGGTGTCTCCTTAGTATTTGCCATCTTAGTCTGGATTTTTGTGTGCCCCTGGATGAAGAGAAAAATAGAAAGTAAGTAGTTGCTTGATGAAATGCAAGTGATATAGAATCATGGAAAATTTCATTTCAGGGCTGGAAGTGCCCTTGAGAGGTCACCTAGTCCAGTCCCCACCCACAGGCAGGATGTGCTTAAACTATTCCTTATGTATTTGTGTAACCTGCTCTTAAAAACCTGCAGTGGTAGAAATTCAAAACCTTGTTAGGCAATCCATTGTAGTGCTCACTTCTTCTGGAGTCTAGCAAAAATGGGAAAATAAATCCTGGAAGATAATCTGTTTTATATTTTATTAAGGAAACATTAAAGAGGAAAAATCTGGTAGAATTACTATCTTGAGGTGACTTAATTTAACTTTATAGTAAGTTAGGCTGATCACAGCTTTTAGCTCTACAGTGTTTTGCTTGTTTGCTTTGCTGCTCTCAACAAATGCAGTGTTTAAAACGCAGAGATAAGTTTCAGATTTCATTAATAAGTGAGCAGCTCGGTGTTTTATTTCAGTTACCTACCTTGGCAAATTTTACAGGAAGAAACAAAGTGCTCTAGAATTTTCTCAGATTAATTTAGTGAAGATAAGCATTAGAAATAAATAAAGAATGTGTATGAAACAGAGCCAGGTTATTGTATCCACGCTGATCTATGCCGTTGATGCAAACAGTGGAAACATAAGCAGCAAGACGGGTAGGGTGGGTTTAAAATTACAGTACTGTTATTTCCTTAGGCCAGTTAAAGAAAGATGCTACACTGTCAAGGATATCGGATGAAAGTCTTGATAAAATTCAAGATGAAGAAACACCAGTCTTTAAAGAGCTTCCTGGTGCCAAAGCATCTGACGAGAGCACAATTCCCCTCACTGGCTCAGTAACAGAAGCTGCTGGGGCATCAGATACTATTGCAAATGGAAACCATCCACGTGTACCGTATGGTAAGAAAGTAAGACAACACAGAGGGTTTATCTCCTCCCTGTTTCGATAGAGTTTCTTAACTGCAGGTAGGTCCTGTTGTAAATGGTAAGTTAGTGTCTGGGATTTCCAGCTTTAATCCCTCTTCAGCACTTGGTGGGAAAGATGCTCATTTACAAGTGACATTTTCTTGAGAGGACTTAAAAACAATTACATTTTGTTTGGCTGTATTTCAATTCTAGAAACAGCTGCAAACAAAAATTACTTTCTTTTTGCTTTACTTTGTATCCTTAATGGTGTTTCCATCGTTTTATGCAGTGGAAAAATACAGAGAACACAAATTGCTGATGTATGAAGGTTAAATTCAGCATAAAGATGATTAGCATACTGCCACAGGAGATGAAAAGATTTGGGCTTTAGTTGACAAACATAGGAGTGTTTGGAGCGTGTCCACTAGAAAAATCTCACGCATTGTTTTCTGAATGTATATTTATAAGAAGTAGGCTTGTGTGCATAAAGCTCTTTCTGTTCTCTCATGTGGTTTCATTGCACCCCCCTGCCCCACTTAGTGGTCTGCTGACTTTGATATCACTTTGCTAACATCTACACAGCCCTGTAATTTGGTTAATAAATGTCTAATATATTCGACTGATTCTTACAAAATCAAATAAGTCATGATGTGAAGCCCTTTGAGTGTGTGCTTCCAGTTTAAAAATAGCTAAAACCAATTCTGAATGTTGCGCAGTGGAAATCCGGGAAGCCAGGAAATGAAAAAGATAGTTTCTGCAGAAATACTGCCTTAGCTGTGACATATGCCCTACGGCATATGCTAATATTAAATGGGAATAAGTGTCATAATGTTTATAGAAATAAGATATACAAAATGTTGGAATAGCTGAGGAAATATTTCTGCAGAACGTGAACATTTTTCCTTTATCTTTTTTAAAATTATTTTTAAAATTTATGTAAATGTCTCTTAAGTGTAAGTACTTTTGAAAGGTGACCTCATATTCAGTATGAAATTACAGTAAACCACCTTTCCTGAAATCCTTTTTATGCCTATTCAATGTAGAGAAAACCTCAGAAGAAGTAGAGCTTATTTTACAAGACAGGAATTTTATAGAAATTACTTTTTCAAAGAACCTGAGGATTTAACCTTCAGGTATCATCTTTGAATAGCTGATCCCAAGTGACTTGCCGCAGGTCATACAGCATGTCTAGGGGAGACCCAGCACTGGAACAAAGCTCTTTTTGCACAGAAGATGAGAGAGTTTATTTTGCAGTGTATTGAATCTTGGTTTATTCACCGCATATATTGCAAATTGATCTTCTTTGTCCTGTACTCTCCGATGCTGCTGTTTTATTGTCTCGTGAAGTGGGAGAGAGTGGGCTTCTGTATTATATTTTGTAGAAATAAAAATGAATCTCTGCCTTTTTAGGAAGGGCATTTTCGATGACGCACACCTCTGTGAAATCACCTGTTTCTAACGGCACCTTCAGTTTCGATGGCCAGGTGAGGAGCGATGGCCACGTTTATCACACTGTGCACAAGGACTCAGGTTTATACAAAGACTTGCTCCACAAAATACACCTGGACAGGGCCACCGATGAGAGGCCCGCTCAAGAAAACAACTACAAACTGTTACGACGCAACAACAGTTATACTTGTTACACAGCTGCTATTTGTGGCATGCCTGTGCATTCCTCCTTTAAGGCAGCGGATACGTCAGCTCCGGAGGACAGTGAGAAGTTAGTGGGAGACACTGTCTCCTACTCCAAGAAGCGAGTTCGCTATGACAGCTACTCCAGCTATTGCAACGCAGTGGCTGAGGCAGAGATCGAGGCGGAGGAAGGTGGGGTGGAAATGAAGTTGGCCTCTGAACTTGCAGATCCTAACCGGCCCCCAGTTGATCCCGTGGAAGAGGATAAGGAAGAGAAGGACACGTCTCAGGTCCATCTACTTTTCCACTTCCTCCAGATCTTAACAGCCTGCTTTGGATCCTTTGCCCATGGAGGTAATGATGTCAGGTAAGAGGATGAGATCTCACAAACCAGCAATATTATGGTTTAAGTGCTTGGAGCAAGGTTTGCCAGCTTGGCCTGTCGGGAATTGTATTCATTTCTGCAGGCAGATGATCATCAGGGCTGTGTTTTACAAAGCTTATGACACTGATGTCCCTGGTGCTTTCCAGGAATTGAGCTGCTCAGTCTGCAGTTTATTTTCTTCTCAATGGTAGCACCTTTTTAATTCGCTGCTAAATAATTGTGCAGTAATTAGTTTAATTTTGGCAAGCTTTGGGGCACTGAGACTTCCCTGGGCAAGCCAACCACCGTAAAAGCCAACAGGCCAGTCCCAGCCCTACAGAGTTCACAGCCTATTTTAACTGCAAGGTCAGAGACCATCAGCAAATGAGAGGTTTAGACTATTTTTGTCATTAGATGAATTTAATCTCTTGTCACATTGTGAAAAGAGGTGTGTGAAGAATGCAGAGATCTATCCTGTGGATAGCTAGTCTGTCTAGCAGAGCAGAAGACTTCTTACTAGGCTTTTGGCTCCTCCACATGTTGCATAAAGATCTGCAGAGCTCAAAAGGCAGTGTGTTGTTGTAAAAATACTTGAGTAGAAACTAGCTAGTGGCATAGCTTTCTGTCCAGATTTCCATAAGAAAGCAAGCCTTGGCAATCCCTCTTCCACTGAAGACTGCTATCTTTTCATCTTCCTACTTCGTTCACTTCCCTTCTGTTCATTTTAGGTGCTGCTGTCAAGCTGCTTCTCTACTTTTTGTTTTTGCCCTCAGCCTTCAATCCCGTTGTTAAAATCCTGCTTTCCTCTGTGTTTGGTTTTAAGCTCCTCACTCATATATTTAGGGCAGCACCTCTGTTGTCCACATCTTTTTCTTTGGACTTGTCTCGTACATTTTCCTTCCGCATCCTGGAACTCACTGTCTTCCTGTGTATTCTATTTATTTTCTATCAGGCTGTTTGCTGACATTCCTTGGAGGGACAGGAGGAGAGAAGAGAGAAAAATTAAAAGCTAATATAAAAATTTAAAACCGCAAGTGGTTAAATGATTGACCTGTTTTAGAGCATATTTAAGTATGAGGCATACGATACAGACTGAACCATGATGCAGCTCAGCAACACTTTATGGAGCAGAAGTGCCCCATATAGTTTGGATAGCACTTTAGTGGGCAAAAAACCATGCAGAGGAGATCTCCCTTGTTTCATTGTTCGGGCTTTTCCCTTGGACCTGGAAGAGTTAAATTAGTATTTTGCTTTTGACTGCAGAACTAACTCATAATAAGGGTAGCTAGACCCAAATTTCTTCCAAGATGATACATTATAACATTGTAATGATGCCAGCCATCTTTGCTGTAGGAGCTGATGTCAGGGCTCCTGTTTAGGCTGACATCAGCAGGGATCCTGGCCGGTGCAGTTGTGTGTTAAAAGAAACAGGGAGTCATGGTAACTCCTTATTTGGGTGACTGTTTTGTTCAGACCATCCCCTCCTACCCCCCTGCTGCAGAGCTTATATGTGCTGTGTCAAGGATGCTGGAGCCCTTCCAGGGCTGGGACTCACTGAGACGAGCTGAGAGCCTTGTGACACCATCATGCACATGGGCTGAATGAAATCTAAAGAATTTTAAATCCCGACTAAATGTGTTGGGACAGAACTGCTGAAAAAATTGTTGTTGTTGAACTTAATTAGCGGCGCCAAGTGAGCAGGTCCTACTGGCTCAGCAGCCGCGCACAAAAGGAGCACGTCAGGTCATTGCAAGAGCAACAGGAGAATAAAAAGGGCAGGATGGAAAAAAAGACCTGGGCCAGGAGCGTGACACAAGGAGAACTGCCAGCTTCCTAAATGCTTGTTCAGAGCCAGCTTTCCAGAGAGGCCGGGAGGCTGGGTTTTGTTGGCTGGCAGGGATTATATGCACCTATGGTTGAGTTGGACTGAGCTTATGTTCTGTAAATATAGGCTGGTTCAGC